AGCTTAGCGATAAAAACCCCAATCGAAACATAGGACAATTGAACAATGGGTATAATAAACAATTCCATAATGTTAAATTTTCGGCGAATTTAGATCTAAAGATTTCTTGGTAAAACTAAAAGGCAAGCGCTAATAAATAACATAAATATCAATATAAATAAAAGAATATACAAAATAATATACAGATATTTACCTTTTAGCTATTTAATACTGTATATATATATATATGTTAAGCATTTATTGAAATTAATGCAACTAAAATGCCGAAGTTTACAACTCATCTTTGACTTTTACGCTATCCTGGATTTTAAAGGAAAAGTAGGCTTAGAATTTTTTTCGTTGGTTCATATTGAGAATCTACAAATCGCTTGGCGTTTGAAATTCTTTATATTTTGGCTATAAATAGGACAGAGTTTTTTTACATTGCAGCTTTAGCAAAGTTAACCTACGAATTTACTAAAATATATTTTTAAACATTCATGTTAAAAAGGTCAACGACATATTTACCTTCTCCTCTAATTAAAGTAGATTTTACTAATTACATAAATTATTTATATATTAATAGTTTCAGTGTAAAATGCTTGTATAACGATGATTTTGCCCATTTTTTATTTATCTCTTCTTCTATCTAGTTGTTCTCTCTCTCTCTCTCACTCTCTCTCTTTTACTCTTTCTTTTTGAGAGATTACACTCACGTTTATCCGTATATACATACTAGCAATCGTAGAAATACACATATAAAACTTCTTCTCCTTCTCCCACTTTCCCTCACCAGCTCATTCTGTTTCTATCTTTCTTTATCTCTTTTCCCTCTCTCTTACTCTCTCTCTCTCTCTCTCTCTCTTTCCGCTCCCCCCTTCCCTTCTGGAATACTTAACACAATTTTTCACCCTATTTTATGAGTGATATTTACATTAACTATATAAAATTGCCTATGACGTTCAGAGTATCGAAATAACTTCTTTTAAACATATACTCTATTATTAAAATCAAGGTTATAGATAAATTAGACACTATTAAATATTAAGACCAAAAATTAATTTAGCTATGTAAACCTTTCGTAGTATAAACATCTCTTTTCCAATAGAATATTTTACTAGATCAATTTTCTTATTAATAAAGTTGAACATAAAGGACAAGGAGAAATTTATATATATATATATATAAAGATTGTATATACTGTATATATTAGTAGAGACACTAGCTGGACAAAATATGAAAGGAAATGAAGCAAGAAAGTTAAAATTGAAAGAGGAAGATTAAACGAAAGGTATTAAGGATAAAAGAAGTATAAGTTAACCGCCATATTGCTTTCACGTATGCTTGATAGTGTAACAATAATTTATTTTGTATCTCAATGATTGAAACAGTTCTATGATGGATGAAGAAAAGAACAAAACACCTATTGTGTATGATTAAATTGAATAAAACTGCAAAATGAAGTTAATGTTGTAGCTAATATATTAGAATATATATATACTAATATATATATATATATATATATATATAGACGATACAGCAGAAGTAGTGAACTAGAATTATCTCTCACTCACTCTCTCTATCTCTCTTTCTCTCGCTCTCCCTACACTACTTTGCAGACAAAGCTTTTTTTTCGATTAGGGTTAATACTATATGATTAGAAATCATTCTAAAAGTAATACTTGTATTAGTAAATTTGATTATGTTTTTTTTTTAAAAAAGGTACAGTAATTTTTCACCTAGATAAAAACTACTCTGCAAAATTCCTTTAAAAGTAAACAAATGTACATAATACTAAATAAATTAACTGCAAATATACAGTACTATAACATATATTGTATAAATTCTATTAGAAAATAGCTTACTCTCAATATTTTTGTTTCCAAGTATCAATTTTTAATTGATAAAGAACTACTGGAATTGTCTTTATCTTAGCAGATTTATTAAAACAATATAATACTTAGATACTTAGATCAGTTTGGATTTTTCTTATGAGTATTACCTTTCTAAACTAGTCACGTTTCCCCTTATTCGATTAATAACCCCAATTACCCAAAGTATCCGTTTACCTATACTGATTCCTCTTATCTTTTATAGTATATATTGCTTTGAATTGGTAACAAAGTGTTAAGTAAACAAGGAATCTAATAGTTCTTTTTTACCTGAGGTAAATGATAAGAAATTGATGTTTATGAATAAAAAGAAAATTGAGACATCTCACAAGACTTGTTTAATTAGTTGGCATGAATGAGTGATAGTTCTCTTCACCATGATAATTTTTTGCGCTTGTTATCGTCTGCAAAAAACATATAACAGAATGGACGTAACTTTAACCAGTAATAAAATTTTATTCATTAATTTTATTGATAAATAAGAAAAATGTATATTATTTCTTTAAATGAAATTTTATATATTACATATTTAATAAAAGTTAACCTTCTATTTTGTTTAATAGACATTTGTTACCAAATTACTGAACCTTATGCTATGATGCTCTGTTTTGTTTCTGACGTATATGAAAGTTTTATTATAATTAATTTTGATTTATTAAGAAAAAACAAGTATAAAAGAATGAATGATTTTAATATTGTACGTTATTTCCTTTATAGCTGCTTATAATTTCATTTAAAAATATCTCACTCATAAATAGCAGTCATCTATATATATATTCATTTAAAAATATTCATTAACATATGTTCCTTGTAACGAAATTTCCACGTAATGTACTTTTTCCCTATTGATAAATATAAATAAAGTTTCAATATTGTTTCCTTTATGTTACCATATCAACCATATATTGTAAATATATATTTTTTAAAGTTCATCTAATTTTAAACTCGGTTTTCCAGTCGAATCAATTCTATTGAAGTAACTTTACGTATTGGCTTTTTTTTTCTCTTCCTATTTGAGTATGGGACTAGGGGAGAGAGATATAGATAGATAGATAGATAGAGAGAGTTGAAGCGTCTCTTTTACACGATTCTTAACTCTTCCTACTGCGATATCGCCCTTTCCATTTCCAAGCTATTTTTACCACTAATGTACTGTGATTGTTAGAAAAAAAATTGTCTGAATATAAACGTAGGCGTTTTTTGTCTTGTCACTATACCTCTGTCACATTACTCTATATGGTTCATTGGTTCGGTAAACATACATATAAATATAATACATTCAGTAACAATGCCATGTAAAAGTCAATTGTCAATTAATAGTTTCATTGTTGTATTCTAACTAATTAATTCATTGACAATTTATTAATATCCTGTTGAAGTAAAATGATAATACTCACTTATTTTTATTTTTACCTCTCCCCTACCAATATATAGTTAAAACTCTTCTTTTACTCGTTGTAATTCTATAAATAGTTAATGACATTACCGGAAAACCTTTCAAAGACGCAGAACGTAAAATAGAACAGCAACAGTTACATTGTAGCCTTACAAGCGCCGTTTATAAGTTAATAAATTATTTAAAAACATTTATTCCTTCAGAGGTTTATTCTAGTTTTGTGCTTTTATATATTCTGAAGAAAGTTCATACATCTGATCCTTTTTTAGAATTCATCTTAGGCAAACATCACTTGTGATAGGCTAAATGTATACTTGCGACGTTAAATCGGAAAATATTGACTTTATGTGGTAAAATTAGCAACGTCTAACTCAATAATGAAGAAAAGAAAGAGAAGAAGAAAAGAGTAAGTGAAGATTTTAAGATAGAGAGTAAATTAGAAGTAACTAAAGAAAACCTTTATCGAAAGATAAATAAAGTTATAGATTACGTAATACCTGTTCCCTTGAACTAATTCCATATATATGTTTCCAACTAACGATAACTTTCACGATCTTTAAGCATTTTCCCCACGTAGTTTTCTTCCTAAGGCAAAATTTTCTTTTTGATTTCATTTATTGTAAAAAATTTTCTTGCTCACGAATAAAAAAGAAAAATTCGATTAATAATGCAAAAAGAGGCTTAATATGACGTTTTATATACGTATCTTGAGGCAGTTGTTTTTTTTAAAGAGAAAGTATTTTTCGGGGATAGAAAGAAAAGTGGAAAAAATAAGAAAAAAGCAATAATGTGTACATAAGCGTACTTTTCCTTATTTTTTATGATTTATTCACGTTCAAATGGATAAGCGTAATAAATATTATTCCTTAGAGTCCAGTAAAAACTGGAATATTATAGGGAAAATTGGCAAGAAAAAAAAAGACATTCTCTACTATTACTACTACTACTCTATCCATCTTTCCATCCATTCTTATTTTGATATCTTTTCATTAATATTTAGTGTCAAGAGTAGGCGATTCAATTGAAAAATTCAATATTATTACGTAATAACTATAACAATTGATTGTTGACTTTTTCCTTTTATTTCTCCTTAGAACACCGTGCAAAACTAATTATAACAAATGAACTAATAAACTAAATCGGAATTAGAGGCATTTGTAAAATTAATTTAGGCAGAGAGACGATGTACCCTTCCAGCTCAATATAGCTTTACCCTTTTCTCAGATCTCCTAATGATTCGATATAATTCAGCGCGAAATAAGCTTTTCCACTTGTCTTATTCGTGAAAATTTTTACTGTAGCCAACTCCTATTATCGCCCTATTAAGCGTCTGGCGCTCCATCCGCTTCCAATCAGTCAGGGAGATAATGAATATAGTACGTAGAGTATGTATCTGTAACCTCGAGAAATGTGCTAGGTGAAGTATGCAAATTTTTTTTCCTAAATCCAGCTCAGAGCGAATCTAGAATAATTTTGAGGCATCACTTTCAAGTAACAATAACAACAGCCATAATAATTCGTTATTATTGTTAATAGAAGTATAATAAAAATTTTTATTGCCACTTTATATTTATTCAACTTTTCCAAAGTGCAAAAGAAGAAGGGTTTACAAAGAATAACTTTTGCGCCCTCTATCGTCTTATCGGCAAAAGGTAGTATTAGACATAGGTCCCCATATCTAATCTAATCAAATCGATATACATTCTTAGTCATATGTCGCCTGTCGCTTATTTAATTTCAAACATTTTCAAGCAAAAAACTGACTGTATTAGCAACGAAAAAGGACGACTATGAAAGCTGTTATCCTCTTCACTCTTTCCACTCTAGTGGCCTTGGCCAGTTCCGGTAAGAGAAACAAATAAGCCCTTTTATATACAGTATACAAGTATTTAAAAAAACGAATAAAAGAGATATATATATATATATATATATAGATACATGTATATTAAAGTATATGTATTAAATAAAATAACGCTTAATGTATTACATATATATTTTTTCCTAACAGAGATGAGCTGTTTCAAATGTAACTCAACAACAGACTCTTGGTGTTTAGAAGGCAAACCTCCATCAAATACAGACGACGCGTACAAATGTGTAGCAAAATATGCCTGTACCAAATCTCAGCTTCAGAATTCAAATTGTAAGTCTACTACTACTTAAAATCACTTAAAGAGTAATATTTTGATTATTATAAGATACTTTTGTTTCAATCCAGATACACATGTAACACGAGGCTGTGCTGATGTTCGACAGCTCAGGTCTTATTGTGAATATTATAAAGCAAGTGGTGGTGCTAAATTGATTAACTGCGAATGTATTCAACCACTTTGTAATACTGCACCAGTCGTCAATTGGTCGATATGGCTGCTCGTACCCTTACTAATTTCTCTGATTTTCAGATTCAAATAATTACAAAACCATTTATAAAGCTTCTATTAATTATGTTGTATATATATATATATATATATATATATATATATATATATATATTACATACTGAAACTATATTAATTTTATAAATAACCTGGCACTTTCAATAGATGTAGTATATATTCCTCCATATTTACCAAGTCTTAAGGACTTTGCATATTTCTTATAAGAAACTACATTTATTTAAAGGATATAGATCACTATTATTTCGTAATTACATGTTCCTTATCCGTAATATCCTTTACATGAGACAACACTTAATCAAAAGGGTAAATTTGAATAAATATTTAAAAAATCTGTTTAATCTTATTTATATTTTCTTTATCTGAATAGAGTTATTCATCAGTATAGGGTTATCTTCTCACGAGTATATAGGCCTTAATAATTTATATTATGTAGAACGCGTATCTATATCAGTTTCAGGTAAAAGTCTTTTTATACTAAAAATCATACATAGCTGAATCGTGACTTTTTGGAGAAGCCTATTTAATAGATATAATATGAAATAAAAATCTTTAGTCATTATAGAGCTTAAAGATAACCTTGGTTAACAATCGTTAATCCCTCTTCCGCCCCTACTCCATTTTCGAAGAGCAAGGTGTATCATTTTCAAATTATAATTTATCAAGGAGAAAAGGACGTTAATAATATTAATTTTCTTAGTGTAATAATTAAAAATTTCTTCTAATTTTCTACAAAATGATGACTGATTTACAAATTGCAGGAAAATAAATAAAAAAGAAGAAAACAATTGTATATAGAGACACAGTGTTAAAGACTCCATAAATAAATATTTAAGTAATAGATATAACAAATTTATAATTAATATTAATGAGGAAAACGTCCTTTTATTATCTTCAAGTCAAAGTTAGGCGTTACAACTCTCTCATCTTTAATAAAAACTAATTACTGATAATTATTTTTTTTATATATAAATACTGTATACAAGTATATATATATATATATATATTTATATATACAGTATATGTATCTTTATTTATGTTCATATTTATACACAAAATTGGTTAATTAGTAATTTCCCTTTTCTTTAATTATAGTATACAGACTGAGATACACATTTAATACAAGTAAACTGTATAGAAAAAGTTAGGACAAAAAAAATCGTAGGCTAACGAGAATAAATGGAAAAATAACCCTTTGTCAATGGATGAAACAATAAAAGAGTGGTTATAACAATGGCCGATAAAAAAATCCAAAAGAAAAGTCTATCGACGACCTCGGCTAACAACCGCCAATCTCTTGTCCATTCTTCCTCTTTCTTTTTATCCTCCTGCGTTTTCTTACCGGGTAATAGGAAACGTCTACTCATTCTGGCGTTCTTTGACCCCGATAAGGAACCATTCAATTTTGTCAATAAATTCAATTGTTTTCCTATAGCCTTGCCTAATGAGGCAGATTCGCTAATCCTGTGCCCGTCTCTAATTTGAGGATCCTGATCGAGTTTTGCGTATATCTCATAAGAACACATGCACATAAGCCGCGCCAAGTATTTGAGGACAAGGATTTTTGCCCAGGTAGGTACAGGACGGTCTGTAATGTGGTGCAGGTTGAGTATAAAGACAGTAAGCACCATAGATAACGTTGTTATGGCCATAGTTAACGTTAAATAAATTCCTAGTAGCGGAATGTGATCGCTAGTCTTCGGAATTGAATCTGTAACGTTTAGAAGAAAGATGCGGAATGAGAGGAGGACGACGACGCCTATTTGAACCTTTTGAGCTGGCGTACAAAAGAAGATACTCAATAGAAGAACGGATGTCATCATAGACGGCAAAATAACGTTCATGACGTAGAATGTATAGCGTCTTCTGAGACGAAGTTCAAAGTTCACATTGCTAAAACGTTCGTTCTCACAACAAGCGAAGTAAAACTCTCCTCTGCTAGCCTCTGTTTTTTCAAAAAAAAAGAAAACATTCAGCTTTAGACATTTGAAGAACAAGGAAAGGAAGACAGATAAAAAAATCAATCAACTGTGTTTTTTTCCCTTCCCTCAATCTCCTCTGCTCTCTCAGTCACTTGTAAATGCTTTCTCTTACTCTTTCCCTCTCTTTATTCTTCTACACTATCTCTTCCTATTCGACTACTCTTACCTATTCTTGAGAATGTTACCTACACAAATATAACTCTTATATATACTAAAGTCTGTATATCTTTTTTTCTAAATAAAAAAACCATCACTTTTATTTCTGCACATGTTCATTTCCTTGCACTATTTTCCCTCTTTTTTTTCTCTTCGTCAACTATTTTACAGAGGCATTAACACGATACTTTCCCTATTTATCTTTCACCTAATTAACCTCGTTAAAGAAGTGTTTAGTAATGCCCTAATAGTTATAAAGTTTATAGTCAAGTTAAATAAACGTAATCGATTAATTAGTCTGGCGTATCCTACCCATCGAAGATTCAGCAGTCCATAGCCGCCCCCATTGAGAATTTGACTTGGATTGGAAAGAGGGAGAAAATAGAGGGAGAACTAAGCTGCACATCGAACGTGCCCCTTCGCCCCCTTTAGCCTCTCACCGCCAGTCAAACCGGGAAGAGAGGAACGTAAAAAATAAATATTTTACACTAAAAAAAAAGTAAAATCTCAACAGCGCCACCTGTCTTTTCTTATTCTTGTCTTCTAAAATAACCAGTTCGATCTGATGAGTTTTTAAAATTTCATTACCTACGAACATTTTGACACTGTAACGCTAAACCTTTCAATAATTTCTTTGCTTTCAAGCTAGGCCTATTATATCCAGATACTTGCTTGCCGAAAAGGGGGGGGGGATATAATTGTAAATGAGTTTTTTTTTGTATTACTGCAAAGAAAAAAAATCTATGCGAAGAAAGAATAGTACGGTCTAAGTAAAGGGCGAATCTTAGTGTTTTTCTTTTTTTTTGATCCAGATTAAGAAGGAAAAAATTACTTGAATCGAAGAAGAATGACAAATAGAATAGGAACAATAAAAGAAAGATAAAGATTAGATTGGTTAAGCTATGACGAAAGGGATAAAGTCTAAGGGAAATGGAACAAAAAAAGTGATAAACTGTAGTATGAGCAAATAATGAAAGAGTTTTGGTACCTCTCATCTTTAAACTGAAATAAAAGTCTTTATATCTAAAAATTAGCAGTAGATAAGTTCGCAAAAACCAATATAAAGAATACTGACAAAACTATTGACAGAGCTACAGCAATTACGTCAAAGCTGAGAGCAATAAATTATTAGGCCTACGCGAGAAAAAGACTTACGTCTTACGTCGGGTTGACTGTAGGAGTAAGTAATTCAGGCAGCCAGAAACAGTGGGGATAAAGATTAAAAGAAAAAATTACTAAAACATGTATTACAATAAAATATGCAGCATTTACATATATATATAGTATATACATGTATTTGGCTGCAATATAAGTATACTAAAAGTGATAATGTTCCTAAGCTGTAAGTCTTTCCTGTAATATGTAAAAACACGTGTCTACATCAAAACTTTCCGATACACTTAATTACTTAATTAAAATTAAACATATAAAGTGCATTGAAAAAACTACGTCATCGAGAATTTGTTTGTCTTTTAGGATATCTTATACTTTTTAAGAAAAAAGAACTTTAATCTACAAACACGAGGTTATAGTGTAAAAACAAAAGTAAATTGACAGTTGACGATCCCTTTATGAAGATGAATTTACAGTTTGTCTAAGGAGAACAAGATATCAAAGCAAGAAAATATCTCTTTTATTTATAAACTGATAATATATATATATCGATTATCACTCTTTATAAAGCGAGAACACGCGATTCTTAGGCTTACACTCATTCATTTCCATATATATGAAAATTAGTATGGTCTTGATGAACCACACCAGAAAGGAAAATAATTGAAAGAAACTTGAAAATGAAGTATGTGGAAATGTTTGTCTCCTAGTCTTTTATGGTTTGTTGCCTTTGCAAAAGTTACCAATCTATTATTTATTAGTTTCGCTGTCCCTTAAATGAATAAAAGAGCTGATTTCAGTAAAAAGAAAATAGCTCCTATCCGAATCATTATCGCTTTTATAAGAATCTTTTTTTTAGCATAAAAAAAGGGACAAATGAATAAAAATTACTTTTTAAGTGGATTCGAAAGGAATATAAACAATAGTTACTTCTCTGTTGTTAAATTGTCTATACGTTTGATATCACCCTTTCTTGTTTATTCGGAGTAAATGCTTTTAAAAAAAAATTATATTGGGAATAGATGATGGGTTTCTTAGCCTGGGATAAAACTCTATTAACCCAAATCTTCATCAATCTATAACCAAAATTAATAGCTTTTTGTGGATTTCATCAATTATCGAAAAGGGCTAAGAGGTGTAAAGGTAAGAGGAATAGTAAAAACATTAGAAAAAAAAAGAAAGATAGCGTTGAAGAAAGAAGCAGGGAGAGAAAAAAGATTTGTAAATTGAGCGAGTGTGGGTGAGAAAGCGAACAAGCAAGAGAGGCTTGGAAATTATTGAAAGAGAAATTCTTTGCAGAAGGTTTTTAGAAATGGCAAATCCGTTAATCAAAAAGTCATCCAGCTCAGAATATAGGTAGGAAAGTAATTAAAGCAAATTAAGAAGAGAAAGAAGAGAAGAAAGACTTTATAAAGAGAAATAATTTTTTTTAACTCATCGTAATATGTTTTAAGAAGATTCAAGTAACGGGCTGATTAATTAAATTGATAGTGCTTAATTAAGGAGGAGGAAGCTATATTTGTTTAAGAGCTTACTCTAGTTGGTAATGCTTAGCATTTGAAATTAAATTCAGGGACAAAGGAATAATAGTAAAAGAAAATCATGTGTCACTTAGAGTGACTGAGAAAATATTAGTGATTACAAAATAATTTGTTTTTAGGTGGCAAACAAGCACAAAGGTTCTATTACATTCACTGACCATGATCAATAGATTCCCCTATCCTCTGTACAGAAGTGTTGTATGTAAGGGTCAGCCAGAAAGGCAGACTCACAAATAATGTAATATTAGCCTATGTCTTTTCCTTGTTTGCTCTAAATATAATATATCTATCTATCTATCTATCTATCTATCGCAGACTATCTTTAGCCGCACAGCATTAATATTAAGAGGAGAACAAATCAAGACTTACTCGTAGACGAAATCTCCCATTCTCCGTTCTGTTCATAAGAATCCTTATTTACTTCATCACCAGTGCTAGTTAAGTTCATTTTTGTCGTATGATAGGACCAAGCTCCAAATTTTAGCTCACAGTTTTGTTCATCGAATGGATAATAAGTTATATCAATCTCACAAACTGTCTTGAAAACACCTCCAGGTTCCCAATGGACTGAGCCATTTGATTTGACAAGTGCACGAAATTGACCGTAATCACCGTAGATTCCGTCAGCTCCGTTTATTGAAGCGAACTCGGGACGCCATAACTTCCTCGCTTCTATTACAATGTCCTTTAAAGCAATTTGATCCTCATCCCAACGAAGACGCTCATCTACCCAATCTAAGATTAAAAGACCCGTTGTCGTTAACACTTGATTACGTAAATTTAAGTCCTGAATTTGAAGCAGTGAGAATCGAACTTGAACCGTAACAGTGTGAGATGAATTCAATACAGGACGAGCAGAGGGATTATAGCCGTCCAACAACATTTCCATCAATTCCTCTTCGTCAGACGGTAATCTGGCTTTGATTGCGTAATCTGTTTTCGAAGAAAATTATAAAATATAGAATATTGACAAGACTGGAAAAAAGAAGAATAAGAAAAAAAACAGTATAAAAACTAGACGCCTGAACTCCATTAAATCCGATTGCGTCACCTTGATGGAAGAAATTTGGTCGTCTAATTTATAAATTGAGGAAATAGATTGGAGGCGATGATTCGGGAGGAAGAGTGGTGATGGGTGTGGGCGGATATAGAAACAGAGTTCCTTTAACTCTACTCTATCCCTTTTTCCTTTACATTTTATATAGTGGCCTTTTATTTGAAAATACGTGAAAAATCCTCAAAGATATACATTGTTTATGCAATTTACGCTCGACAGAAGCGCCGGAGAACGGAACGCTTTTGTAAACTTTCGTAAAGGTCGAGTTGTGTTTGCCAAAGCAATTTTCACGGCGTTTTTCGATCTGAAGTATGGATTCTAAAACATTCTCTTCGTAATAGGCTGTAAATAGGCCTAAACAAACTTAGATAAACGGTTTCATCTATGCTTGAAATTATACTTTATTATTATTAATGTCACCAATACAAGCATTTCTTATATATGAAAATTTATTTATTATTGATACAGTTAAATTCTTTTATAATGTTTCTTTTGAGCGATATTTAAAAATAAATGCTTGTATTTACTGCTTATAGATCAAACATTTTTCCGATAACGAATTGGCCTTTGTGTTCGATAATTATCTACTTATAAAGGGCTGAGAAGAGAATGGAATTCCTCTTTGAAACTAGAAGAATATTACATTTTAAAATGGAAACTTAAATGCTACAGAGCAATAAGATTATCCCGAGCCATATTGAGTTTTAAAGAGAAGTAGATCAACGGAGAAAACGTTTCTAACAAGAATTTCTCTTGGGTCGCTCATACAGAAAGAAAAACCTCTCACTTCATTTGCATTCAATTGAAACGAATCCGTTTTAGTAGACGCCTAACTCTAATTGCCTACAGACGTTTTTTTTGTGTTACAAGATGAACTTGTTGCCTCTGATTAACGCCTGTTTCTAGTTATCTTCCTACCTCTTTGCGCTTTCTTATTTTTAGAAAAAAAATAACATAAGAAAAAAGTTCTCCCTCTTTAACTTATCATTTCTTTCCATATATCTTTGTAGATTTTTTCTCTGCCTTTTCCCATATTTTCCCCTTTCTATCATATCAAACTTCAGAAATGAGCATAAAGTGGGGAAAATCGAAGGAATATAGTAAATATAGAGGTAGAAAAAGCAAAAATTTATTTTTTACGACTAGTAATTTGCGGTTGCGCATTTTTCCAAATATGCTTTCCATCCCTTAGGGGATTTACAGTTTGTCGCGTCACTTCTCAACAATCCACTAATATT